ACACAGCATCCCAGAAAGACAGCTTCTACCCTTTAAATGCACTTTTAGGCTAAAATACAAGGACACGGAGTGGATATCACAAATATGTATGACATGAAAAGCCCCCGACAGAAATCTACATTTGTTTGAGTTTTCTGAGCTAAGTGCAACAGAAATGCTTTAATATTTAACTGATGAGTCAACAGCAAACATGTTCACCAGCACTATGTTCCTGAGAGTGGGAAACAAGCAAGAAATTAACATATTCCAGGCAGAATTGAGCAGATTTGCTGAACTTGAGGCTCAGAAATTCAGTTACATAAATATGTAAATCTTTAAAAATCCATTTGCAGATGATGTGTTGAGTGAGGCAAAATATTGGGCTGAATGTATTACTGTGCAGCAGAGCACTGAGAGCCAGGTTTGAATCTCTTGAAGGGAGAATTTCTCTATTAATCCCCCAAAAATAAATACGGTGGAGTTTGGTGACACATAACTCTGTGAGCAAAATGTTTTCTGTGATGAGGACGCACAAAATGTCCCATCTGGATTTGACAAAAATGACTGAGACCATTTGTTAAAATGTGTTTTGAAGCAACGGCCACGGCCAGACTCCAGCTTCCAAATTACTCTTTAGAAAACCAATGGGTGACATCACAGCGTGTTTGTCCGTCATTTATATAATAATAATATATGGTTAATGGTTAATATACATAACAGTTAGTCCTGTGTTAGTCCTGTTCACACCTGATTTGAGTCTGCAGCTGTATTTCAACAGACAGTAGCTTTAGTCTCCATATAAAAAATTAATATTGAACAAATTCAAGTATTTTTAAAACTGACAGAAGTTGGCGCAAATGTTTACAGTACTATGATGGTAGCATTCAAAGCTAAAAATAAAAACACTGGAAATTTATATCTGTCATATTTGATGCAGACAGATCATGGCATCTCTCCACTGCCAACTGTGTCTTTGACAAATGACACACAGTGTTTAAAACATTTAGAGACTGTCAGTTTATTTCTCTTTGCATCACAATCAAAAGCACAGACATAAGTTGAGCAGTTTCGGTCGTGGATGCTGTTGGCAGAAATACCCTAGCAACCACTCTTCAGCGGATCAAATTACAAATATGTCTTTTTCTGGCTGCAGCATAAAACTGTGGGCAGCCAGTGACTGTAACTCCTTGGTTGACTGGATATATCAAAGCATCTGCTTTCAATATACTTTGAATCCTGCATTCACTCTGGTATTTGCTGTATCCTGTCAGTTACCTGCCATATAAGGAATCCTTTTATAGTCCAAGCAACAAAGGAACAGCTGGAAACCAAAAACCACCACTCACCACCAGGTCTGTGTTGGGAATACAGATAATATAGTGGAGCCAGGGTTACACACCTCTGGTTTGGCTAGCGAGTAGATGGTCCATTTCAGATCTGAAGTCTCTGCCTTAGTGTTCATCAGGACCTCTGGGGGGGAAGAAAAAAAAAATCAATCACAGCAGGAAATATAAAAATGACATGTACAAAACTCATTTAGATTCAAAGAAACACTCAAATGAATTAAAATCACTTACAGAGTGAACATAGTATCAGCTCTTGCTTATTCTGGGATTAGGATGGAAGAAAGAGCTTCAGTCAATTACATCTACAACATTCCCGCTACCCTAAAAAATGTCCTTCCTCTCATGTTTGTTTTTATCTCCCCCACGTCCCCTTTGCTCCCAGCAACGTGCTGTGTCTGTGGTCACACTACACCTGATGAAAAGAGACTGCTTTCGTCCAGGGACAAGTACTGAGCACAGGAGTATCGACCAGACTTGCATATATACAGACACACACATGCACATATAAAAGATTTAAGCCCTTCCAGTCACGTTCTGTGATTACAATAGAACTGATTTTTGTAATCTTAAAAGAAGCAGGCTGCCAGCAGACAAACAATCTGAGCACTTCTGCTATGATTCAGTATCCCAGTAACATCTGAGCAGCATGTAACTTGAAGCACAGTTAGGTTTGCGTGAAGGGACTTCTTTTCATGTGAGGACATCATTTTCCCCCCCAGCTGTCTTAGCAGATTGTCTCTGCTGAATTGTGACTCATATTTATACTGTGGGGATGAGGTTTCTGTCACAGACAGGCTTTTAAAGCCTTGTGTGTTCCCTGCAGCAGGGGTCAGGCAGTTTGGTTTTGCCAATAAACAGGATTTAATGCAGCTCTCCTGTGTGCCATGATCAAGGACAGCACTTGCATGAAAATGGATGCTGGAGGAAGCGAGGGTTTCACTGAGGCTTTATCATTCGGGTTATTAAGATGTTTTGTTGAATTAGGCTCACACAGTAAGGTTTGACGGTAAAGTCAGCACCCCATAACCCCACTAATACACACCACAGTACTCGCCATGGCATTTCCCAGTTTTCTTTTAAATTTTTAAAAGGTTTTATTTGTTGCTGATCACACGTCACTGATTTCGGCGATAATGCCTCACATAAACCATCGGCTGAAACCCAATAAAATCTAGCCTTTCTAATATAATTGAATTTTTAACAAGATTCTGTTTGTTGTATTGCTGCATGTGGTGGGTTTTTATATTCATTAAAAAATGATCTGAAAAATGTTACACTGAGTCCTGGATGAGGTCAAAGTGTTCTTGACTGGCTAAGATGTGCTGCCTCCGCCTCCTGCTTGCTTCAGCGTGTTGCTTCGCTGGCCAAAGCATCCGCTCTGCAAACATGGATGTCAAAATCAGGTGGATAATTTTATACACAGATTCAGTGATTCAGTGCGTAGCCATCCCCGTCTGGAGACTAAATGGCCCCGTTGATCAATTGGTTTAATAACGGCTACTGACTTCATTTATCTCTACATTATCTGCAATTACCTTCATAAAGAAAATTGAAATGTGCATCATACAGGATGCTCATTATGCCACCAACATTCAGCCTGAATGACCTTACAGCCTGATCCTAATGACCGACTTACTTTCACTGTCTGCTCCATAATGTGAATCCCTGTGATTACAATGAGTTTTCTGTGGGAGAGGATAAGAGGATGTTTTGGCAGAACCTTCAACACACATTACCAAGAAGTGCTAGGGACTCCTTGTGCTCTATGAATATATTTTACACAACACTGTTCAACACCAACACGTAGTATTTTACCAAAAATATCCACAACGCCTACAGAGACTAATCCCTGTGATCCTGTGCAAAGTGAGAGGCAATCACTTCTATCACTTACCAACCCACACCCTGGTGAAATACACATGTAGGCACTAAAAATCGCAGTGATAAAGCCAAGTCAGACTTGTGCTTGCTACTGAGACAAATATTATAGCTGCAGCCATCCAGAGACAGACATTATTGTTCAGCACTGATGGACGTTTAATTGTACGGTGAAACTGTGTCTTTAAGCTTGGATATGAAGAGAAGCTTTAACTATTCAAAGCATGTACTATATGGTAAATCTGTTTATGAAGGTGACTCAGTCAACTGTTTTTATTTCCCTCTCTGTGTTAATTAATTACCCTACGCCCCAGATCGTTCTGCTAAATATTAATAGGATAATTTAACAGGATAATACAGTAAAACTACAGTTGCTCACAAGTCACAGGCCACTTTATTAGGTACACGTGTACAACTGTGTGTAATTCAATGCAACACTTCTGCCTTAACATCTGTGTTTATGAAGCTCAAAATGTTTCAGTTTTTAGTGAAATTGTCATAAACGTTTAAAATCAATTAGGTATTTATTATTGAGGACATAGTTGAAGGTGGTGGTGTACTGGTCTGCACTATATTCAGAGGTGTTCCTAATATTCTGACCCTCTCATGTATATAGCTGGGGAAGATAAAAATATAGAGACACCTCTGAATATAATGTAGTGCAGTACAACACCACCTTTAACTATGACCTCAATAATAAACTGAATATATACACAATTTCACCAAAAACTGAAACATTCTGAGCTTCATAAACACAGATGTTGAGGCAGAAGTGTTGCACCTAATAAAGTGGCTGCTGAGCGTATAAAGGCACACACACAAATGCAGAATTCATCCTCTTCTCAACCTCACTCTCACTGTCAAAGAGCCAAAATGTTTCTCATTGTGTTCAACCTGTGTCATTTGCACGTTGCCGTCGTCTCTGTGACCAGTCTCCTGCACAGCACACCAGAGCAGTGGCACGATATAACTTATCAGCAGCGTTGCACATGCAGCACATCTGCCATTATATTGCACTGAGGTAAAATGTGACTTCTCTGTCTGTATTAGCTCCTGTTAAAGAATTACAAACATATGTACTTCTCATCCTCTTCCACTTCAAAACCACAAAAGCCCGCCAGCTTTATGACAACAATCGGTGGTGAGAAGGTGAAGAAAGCCTACAGACGTTAGAGTAGGAGAGGAAAAAGGTGGATGAGGAGGATAATTGAGTGACAAAGATCAGGCCGGCGCTGTCCCTGTATTTAGTCTGCGTTAAGTTCACTCCAGTGGGAGAAAACCACCTTCATAATACGCAGGCCTCTGGCCCAGCTCCGCCGTCCATATGCATATCTGTTTCACATGGTGAAACAGAAAGAGCCCCCCCCCCCCCCACGTAATCACTGTTTACCACTGCTCTATCATTAAGGTTTATGAGATAGGATGCGTGAGTGTTTCTATGAGATGGTGGCGTGTATCTATTATGTGCATGCACGGTCTTGCCTTTCACTGAAGTGCATTCAGACTCAAGCCCTGTTAGAGGAAACTGGTGTTTCCCCTGCATTCTTTCACCAGCGGCGGCCACCCACGACTAAAAAACTGTCCAGAGTGCTAGAAAACGTTGAAACAATGAAACGTCGTCATCTAACCGTATACAGCACCCGAAACAAGCAGCGGGACGGTAACTATAGTACAACTGTCCACATTAGGACAGAAGTCTAAACCGGTGCTGGCGAGAAGACTAGGACTAAGCTTTGGAATTACAGTCAAGGAAAAGGTTTTGAAATCTGTAGTCATTTTGTTTTTGAGTAAAGACACTAAGAGGCGAGTCTGAAGTGGATGGGCTGAGAGTTCGGTATTAACATATTAATGCAGCTGTTATAGTTTTATTTTTATCATCACGCCTCGTTAGAAAAACAGCAGAGCAAGTGGCGTTAGGTTTTCTGTGTGGAAACCAAAGAACAATGGAGGGTGTTGTGCACAGTTCTCTTTTGAAATGTAAAACCTGACCCTGTACTTTTTGTTTTTAATTTTACGAGGGGGGGGGGGGACGCGAAAAACACTACACCCTCATTTTCTACGCCGCTGTCTTCAGGCTTTAGATAACTGACTTGAAATTGAAGAGCAAAACCCATTTGATTTGATTCCCTTCATTCCATACAACTTCACTTTTGTGTTACTGTCTGCACTGTGTGCCCTTTCCCTTTTTGTTTTCCACTTTCTCTGTGGTTCTGGAGCGTGATAGGGAAATTATAGGCCTACCAACATTTTCCTTGCTTCAGCTACAATTACACATCATTTTAATTAAAGAAAGAGTGCCAATTATCCCTATGCACTTAGAGAAATGGAGACAGAGGGGAAGGACAGGGATCACGAAAAACAGGAATGTAAGAGGAGGAAGAGATGCTCGGGGGTGTTTGGTCAGCTGACATGAAGCCATGACAGGCTGACATCTCGGTGTCATCACAAGGTATTTCTGTATACTTAATACTTTACTTTTATATAACATCTTGCCAAGATACAGTAACACATGACACACACAGCCTATTTATTTCAACATAAAAACAAATACTGACAGTATTTTGGGCCAATGTAATACATTGTTTTGGTTAGTTTGTTTTCTTAATATCATTGTTTTCTGTAGAATTCATAAACTGCTAAGCAACAGCAACTGTTTGTAAGTTTTATCTTGATAGGAGAGTTACTGTCCCCCAGGCCGAACGCACAACCTCGTGCTTCAGGGGATCCAGCTAGCACATGTTTTAAATTTTGCAAAGCCAGTGCCCTGAGATCAGCCATGCTTGGTGAATGTTCTGGTGCCACAGGCAATCTGATACCACCATGTTTCACATTTAAAATCACAGGAACATTTGGAGAAATATGCTTGGTATAATATGTTTTCCTTTCTTGCCAGAAAATAGATTTTATTGTCATGTGTTTGTGGCTAGACTATCTTAGGACAAAGACTGAAAAGAGAGAAATAAGGGGAAGAGGAAGACACAAGGTGAATCCCGTTTCCTTCACTTGTCCTTGCATCTTAGTCCCGCCCCTGCCGTAAACAAAGCAGTTCTCACTCGCCACAGATGGTTTATAGCTGCTTCTATTCGAGAACATGTCCAATAAGAAGTTGCAAAGGGATGACATCATGTAGCGACAGGCCCAAGGGGCTTTCCCGAATTTCCTTCACGTGCCAGTTCTCCAGTGTTGTTTTGTGAGTTGTGGATAGTGCGTGTACTGAAATAAATGTAATCATCACGTGTGTGTGTG